AAATTTTATATTAAAGAAGGTATAATTCTCAACTTCAACCATCTAAAAAATTTAAATTATTGTACTAATCCTAATTCTATATTATTTACTTTTATAAAGTTTTCATGATTTTAATCTTTTCTTTTAAGTATGTTTTGGAAAATTTTGCATCTTTCCAGTTCTATACCAAAGATTTTAAATTTGGACCCTATGAAGATTTTATAATTAAAATTCAGTAGCAAATCAAAATCAACAACAAATATTAAGAAACAATTAACCACGAAGTCAATCAATCTATTATGAACAGTGTACATTGAACAACAATCGACAATTGGTTCAAACCCACAGCCAAAGAGTCTACAATCTTAACAATCTTAACAATCTCAAACCAAATCAAATATGTCAAGTATTCATCTCTTTTAAAGCAGTTGAAGCTTTGAATATTATTCCCGTTCCTCAAGAAGTCATGTGTCAAGACCTTACAAATAACATGATTTGGCGTTCTATCGGAAATACTAGTTTTTTGCTAAATTTTTCTAACAAATATAAAATCTCATATTACGAGGCAAAACTATGTACTCTGTTTCCTTTCCCCACAAATGATAGATATTTAATCATTAATCATTTAAAGAATAGAAGTTTAATTGAAGTAGCGACTAGAGTAAATGATAATGAGTATGAAGTATTATTTCAAGAATTGTGCATCTTTTTTAATAAAACACCTACTGACAGCTTCAATATTAGATATTTTGAGCTATAAAACACTTTAAATTAATTAAATTTAATATACATCACAATACAATTATTATATGTAAATATGAATAATTGAATATAAAATTCACAATTTGTAAATTATTTTATTGCTGGTAAGATATCCAATAATTCTTCTAGTAGTCAAAACCAAGAAATGTTTTGTTAATAAGCTGATTACTGATGAACTATATTCCTCTTTTTTTTTTTGACATTATAATTTTAATCACTTTGATAATTATATTCAGAGACAAAGAAATTCTTCTATATGCCTCAGCATTTTTTAATTAATATATGCAAGAAAATGAAGCCAGATATAAATTTATATATGTTACAAATTATAGAAAATTATGAATGAAATTAATGCTAATTATTCGAGATTTAAACTATTTATTAACGTTAATAAACAGTTTGAAGAACATTTCAAATTTGTTAATTATGAATTTGTTAATGTTTATAAAGATCTAAAAATAAATTAATCCATTGCATAAAACATCAAGTAGAATATTAAGTGGATTAATTCCTATCGCTATGAGACTTCACAAAATATGAGTTGCATAACATGAAATTCAGAGTCATAATAACCAATCTCAGTGTAGATATTGATATCTGTTTTTGGCCTAAATTAAGATTAATTTGGACCAAAAACAAACAATGGATCGCATCTTTATCTCAGGGAACTTTGAATATACTTAAATAGTGAATATTATGAAAATACCTTTAATAAAAAAAATAGTAGTGAAAATGAAGTATTGAAAAATTAATTGTAGATTTACAATACAATTAAATAGATTCCATTAAAATGCTTTCTTCTAAAGTATTATAATTAAATATATTCAAAAGTAAATTAAATCTAAAAAGACTACCATTATTACTGAATGATCGAATTTATAGCAATATTTAGAATAAAAATAGCAAATTTTTTATTTAAAATTATCAGAACTTTCGGACTTTGCCTACATTAACAGAATAATAAACTTGGTCATGAATACTTCACTCTAATTTTTTTAAAATTTGCAATTTAAATCTTAAATAATAGAATTGGTATGATGCTAAAGGATTTTTCAATTCTTAGAACACAACATTATCGTTGTTACTTGTCTTAGAGAAATTAATATCACAGGATTTTACCCTAGTTGTCTATTCGGCAATTTTTCTACAAGCGAAACATCAACGTTGATTCCTTCTTCGCATACATAGATAATTTTATTAAACAATATAATTAAAAAGGCACATATAGTAGCCAACAAAAGTAATGCCCGATGATCAATTTTATAGTATAATATATAAAAGTCATTATTCTTTTTATTTCAATAATTATTAATAGTAGACTATTATATTTTAAGGGCAATAAAAAATTATTTTTATAAAAAAATAAAGTTTTAATATACATAAGCTTATTTATAATCACAATAGTAAACCAAATTTAAAATTTCTAATTGAACTACATTATTTGAAAAATTTCTAAAATTTCTTTTATTAAAACTTGTAACAATATAATACAATTTATATGAATTATTTGAGTGGAGTTGAAGGTGTTTTACCAATGACTCTCTTTAGATATTCTTGAGCTATTTCAAAATGTTCTGATTCATCTATATTTATTTGATCTGCTAACTTATGAATTTCTCTAATAACTTTCAAGTTCATTTGAAAAATGTCCTAAAAATAAATCAAATCAATAAAAAAAAAAATTTTTGACACAATAATATTTATTTATTATTGATATTAACCTCAATCTGTAAAAATATCTCTAATGCACTTGCCATATC